GGGGGGGGTGAATTAGTGCAGCGGAAATCTTTCACTATTAAAATCGAAAGCTGCGTTTGTTTGATAAAAACGATTTCGATGTAAAAGCCGATTCTAAGATTACTTTAACTTAAGATTAAGCGAGATGACGTTAAAGTAAATCTACGAAGGCAGTTTGCAGTTTATGATGAAAATCAGAATGCAAGCGCAAACTGAAATGCGACGTTCGTACGATAAAACCGGTTTACGTCTAAATGCCAATTTTGAGGATACTGAACTTTGAGATACGTTTTATAAATGCGCAGAAGGCAGTTTACAGTTATGATTGAAATCAAAACGTAAACGTAAACTGAAATGTAATGATCGTACGAAAAAGCCGATTTACGTCTAAACGCAGATTCGGAAAGCTCTGAACTTAGAAACTCGTTCGTAAAAGCGCAGAAGACAGTAGCTATTTAGGAGGTTTGCAGTAAAGATAAAATGCTCAAAGTAAATGCAAACCGAGATTTAGAGTGGTTCGGTCAATCTTGACCTACTCCACTTTTGGCTTCCTCCACCGACGAGGTCACCGACGTCAACTAGAGGCCTTCCTTCAATAGGCAAAGGCCAACCACCCTTTTACAGTTTCACTCCTTTTGACGGGCTTAGGAGACAACCCTTACAGAAATTTTCTCTCCTCTCTTTACAACTCAAAACTTTGAAGAACAGAGGGAGGAGAACTTTTGGCCTTTACAACAATTTTGAGCTCTAAGAATCATAGAAAAAGATCAAGATTTCGAGTGTAAGTTGTTCTCTTTCAGTTCTGAATGGGTGGGGTATTTATAGGCCCCAACCCAGTTCAAATTTGGAGCTCAAAACTGTCAATTCCCGGAATTCCGGGATTAGGCGGTTGCACCTCCTGACTGGGGCGGTTGCACCGCCTACAGCAATTAGGGTCCGAATGGGTTGATCCATTCGGCCCAATTTGGGTTTTTAGGGGCCCAATTGCCCCAAGATTAAGTTAATGGGATCACCTCCCATTTCCAACTTAATCATTATGCTAACTACGATATTTTCTAAGACGTTTATTGCAACTTGCTCCGGTGCGTCAATCGCTTCTTCCAGCGAACTTCCGTCGATCATCCGATGAACCCTCGGTGATACTCCTGCGGACTTCCGGCAAACTCCTGGACTTGCGACGATCCACTTGGCGAGTTCCGACGAGCTTCTTTGGCAAGCTTATGGACTTCTCGGATTTGTTCCCGTAGAACCTCCGACGACTGTCCGAACTTCCGTCGAACTCTCGAACTCCCAACGTGATCATTGTCTTGACTCCGACGCAACTCCTACTGCATGTCTTACTTTCATCGTAGTTAATCCTGCACCCTTAAAACAAAACTTCGATCGAGACAATTAATCCTAAGCAATTAACCAAGTTGTCCGACATGTCATTGGTCCCTCGACGCTTCGTCCGATTCTTCGGCGCATCGTCCTTTCCTGCGGCCTATTGCCCAATCGGCCAGTTGGCTCCGCAACTCTGATATCCTTGGCACAATACCCGCTCTTCTTGGCCTGATGCCCGAGTCCACGGCCCGAAGCCTTCTGTCGATACGTCGACTGATCCACCGGCCCGACGTCCAATCTTCTGACATGTTCCTCCGGCATAACATGATTTTCCTGCTTTAATTATCTCAAACTGATCGAGGCATCCTGCGTCACTCAAAACGCAGATTAAATCATAAACATATATCAAGTAGTTTCATCATCAAAATACGAGATTCAACATTTAGGGGCTGAATGGGCTATTCAATCCGGCCCAATTCAACCCTATTAAGGGCCTAATTGCCCCTAGTTAAATTAGTGGGATTACCTCCCAATCTTAAATCAATTTACGAACTAACTATAATAATTAAGATAATCGACAAAGCATTCTTGTTCTGGTATGTCAATTGGTCTTCCGGTGAACTTCCGACGAACTCTTGGCAAAGCTCCTGGACTTTATGATGATCTTCCTAGCGAGTTTCGATGAGCTTCTTTGGCAAGCTCTTGGACCTCTTGGTTAGTTCCGGTAGAACTTCCGACAAACGTTCGGACTTCCGACGAACTCTTGAACTCCCAACGAGATCTCGATCTCAACTTCTGCATAACACATGCTTTATGTCTTACTACTATCATAGTTAATCCTACACGTTTTTCTCAATATATAGATTAGATCAAACAATTTATAATTGATTTCATCATCAAAATATGAGATTCAACAATCTCTCCCTTTTTTATGATGACAATCAATTGATGACGGAGTTAACCTTAACTCCCCCTATCTATATGCCATACATAAAAAAAGACATTCTTGAATTCAAGGCCTTTGAATTCAAGTATCAAACCGATAAGTTAAGTTCATTTAAACTTATCAACATGCATATTATGATTCCTATCATGATTTAATATTCTCATAATACGATGCTACGTATTTATCAATGAAAATGATGTCAAGGCATGACATACATTTTCAAGTCTAATCATAGACATTCATCATTTGTAAGTATGATACGAATTTCAAATATGAAATATAACAAGATGACAAAGATAGCAATTCATCATTCCATAGCAAGATATCAATTGTAAAATAGCAGACTAAGCTCAAGATATCTTATCATAATGAAAGATATTTATCAAGCATTCACAAAGCATATAAGTGTTTATGATAAGCATTTACGATAACATACATTGCATACATTTACAATGCAAATTTATCATCAATTTACTACTTTTTGATATTATTTCTCACCCTTTGTCATCAATAAAAAGAAGAATAATTCAACAATTCAAGTGTGTTAAAAATTCATATAAGTTTCACACTAATTTATCCAATCAATATTGCATCATTGCATGGTAACGTTCAAAAGTTCTCAATACTAAAGAGATAGATTCCATCAACTTCTCCCCATTTGTCATAAAAAACTTTATGTGAAGAAGAGCAAGGAAGGGAAGGTAAGGAAGGAATCCATTAAGAACCTAATTTATGAAATGATTTGAATCAAAATATCATTTGAAATCAAATCGTCGTTCTTGCAAGTAATCATCTCACACGAAAATTCATCTTTCAAGGATCAAGATATCCATTGGAATTCATAAAATTCATCTTTCATGAGAAGAATAAAGAAGAATTCATGGGAAAGAAGTACCATATCAAGGATAAAGGAAATTCCATGAATAAGCCTTCATAAATCAAATCCATTTCTCATTTAAAGATTTATAAGAGTAAAATCCATAAGAGATGACATTTGTCAATAAATTCCATATGTCAAACATCATTAAGTGATGGAGCAAGGATATGAAATAAATTTGATATCAAGGAAGATAAAACCAAAATAAATTCATGAAAGCTCCATTCATGAAATACATTAAGAGAAGGCACCAAGTCCGGAAAAGAAATACAACAAACTTATGTATTCGGATAATTTAACATCCCTAATTCCCTTCTATTGAAATCAAATTGTTCTTCATTTAAGGGTTTTGTAAAGATATCGGTCAATTGATGTTTCGTATCATTAAACTCTAATATTACATAATGATTATTAATAAGATCTCGTATAAAGTGATGTCTAATGTCAATGTGTTTAGTTCTAGAGTATTGAATAGGATTTTTTGTTAAACATATTGCACATGTATTGTCACATTTTATAGAAATATTCTTAAGATAAATTTTATA